ATTTATAACATTACATTATAAACATCAGTAATTACTATACATTACATTATTTAATAAGCGATTAAAATTAATAATTATAACATTATTTTATATATTTGTATATGATTACTTAATCAATTATAACATTCCATTATAAACATTAGTACATTAATTAAATGATTTGAAATTTAATTAATTATAATATAAATTATAGATTTGTAGTATGATTACTTAATTCATTATAACATTACATTATACTATTATAGTAGATCATAAATTAAAATAACATTACATAATTAAATAATACTTAATTGATTATGAGTTATAATATTATATTTTAAACATTAGATATCTAATTTACTACATAAACATTAGCACAATACTTAATTAAATGATAAGAAATTTAATTAATTATAACATTACCTTATAAACATGAATTAAGCATTACATTATAGTTAAATAATTACTCAATTAAATATAATTTATTATTACATTAGATTATGATCACTTACTTATATAGCATTATATAGTTAAATGATACATAATTACTTAATTAGTTATGAATTTATACATACATTATAAACATTAGTAATTTACTATACTATACATTACTTAATTAAACGATTAAAAAGTTAATAATTATAACATTACTTATATATTTGTAATATGATTACTTAATCAATTATAACATTCCATTATAAACATTAGTATATTAATTAATGATTTGAAATTTAATTAATTATAATATTAAATTATAGATTTGTAGTATGATTACTTAATTCATTATAACATTACATTATATATTATAGTATGATCATATAATTAATATAACATTACAAATAAAAATTACTTAATTGATTATGAGTTATGATATTATATTTTAAACATTAGTAATTACTAATTTACTACATAAACATGCACAATACTTAATTAATGATAAGAAATTTAATTAATTATAACATTACCTTATAAACATTAATTAAACATTACGTTATAGTTAAATAATTACTCAATTAAATTATAATATTATATATACATTATATTATGACACTTACTTAATTATAGCTTATATAGTTAAATGATTACATAATTACTTAATTAGTTATGAATTTATAACATTACATTATAACATTAGTAATTTACTATATTATACATTACTTAATTAAACGATTAAAAATTTAATTAATTATAACATTACTTTATATATTTGTAATATGATACTTGATCAATTATAACATTCATTATAAACATTAGTATATTAATTAAATGATTTGAAATTTAATTAATTATAATATTAAATTATAGATTTGTAGTATGATTACTAATTCATTATAACATTACATTATAATAAGTGTGATCATATAATAATATAACATTACATAATTAAATGATCACTTAATTGATTAGACATTATTTATAAACATTAGTAATTTACTAATTTACACAATTTTAATCGAATTATTATAATTTTATTAATATAACATTATATTATAAATTTTAGGTATGATTATTTAATTAATTATACATTCTATTATAAACAATATTATAATACTTAATTAAATGATAACAATTTAATTAATATAATATATTTATAAATTAAATAGTATTACTAATTAATTATAACATTATAATTACATTGTAGTATGATCACTTATAATTATAACATTACAATACATGTGAGTATGATCACTTATTTAATTATAACATTACTTGTTTTTAATATTAAATTACTAAATTATATTTGGTATATTATAAATACCCAATTAACCAATTATAACATTAATTAATAAATTTATAAACATTAATAATTTATTAACTTACAAATAGACTCCTGGCAAATGGTAATGTTAGTAATTAGTATAAAGAATAGGGTACCTTTGTAATTTTATATTTACAATACAAACAAAGCAAAATGCCTAATCGATTAGGGTATCTCAAATTGACAAATTCAGAAATTCTCCTCTTCTCCACTCTCTGGCCTCTAGACTCTGCCGTCTTCTTCTCTGTTTCACTTCTTTCGCCTATCCTTGACTTTCTTTGCTCGTTCACTACATTTGATCTATGTCGTTCCCAGTTCGTTCAACCAGGTCTTTTTTTGATTACTGCAAAGATCACATTTTTGTGAACCAGAAAAAAACTCATCCTCCCACTGATATTGATGACCTGTTGAGGAGATAGCAGAGGAGAAAAAAAAAAAAAAAAAGAAGTAGAGTTAGTTCTGTTCTCTTAACAAATGTAAGATCTTCTCCATTCTCTCTGCCGTCTCTTCTCTTGTATGAATTATGATTGATTGCTATGTATGATTGAATTTATTACTTAGATTGAAGGTGCATGTCTGCTGCAATTTACGGTAGTTGCAAGCTACGGCAAACTGCAATAGAGCAGCAGTTGCAAATTTATGTCCCATAAAAAGAAGTCTAAAAATTTATGCTGGAGATTTTTATTCATTACTTAGATCTCTAGGGGTCGAACTGATAAGTCATTCAAAGCTTGAAGTTGCCGTCAGAACATATACACAGTATCAAGAGGAAGACTTTAGAAATATTTTTGGTTATTTGAGTGTTAATACGATTTAGGATTGATCATTTCTTTAGGATTTTTGTTGTAGTTTGATTAGGTTTATCTATTAGAATTTTATTCCTTATATAAATAAGTGGTTGGCCTTTAGATCTAGATTTGTTTTTGATTAAGACTTAAAGAGTTTTTTACTCGGGGTGCAACTGCAATCAAATAGTTTTGTTCTTTTCTGGATTTCCTGTGTATTTCAGTTGATACAACTTATCTGTAAGTTCATTAATTTTTGGTTATGAAAGTGTTTTTTTTTCCCAATTTTGAGCTTTATGTTTGCTATATTATTGGGAAGATTATTTCTCAGATAAAGATTACTAAATTTCTAATCTTCTTATTTGGTCATTGCATAATAGATAATAAAGGAACTCCAGCTGCATTATTATTATTATTATTAGTAAAATCCAGCTGCTATTATTATTATTATTAAGTAAAACTCCAGCTGCATTATTTCATAAAACAAGATCTTAATCTTCACTCTCATAATGGAGCAGAAGGAGTGAACCGGTGCCAGATTCTCTATTGTTGATAAATAATTCTTATAGGTTAAATAATTATTTATTTATGTAATCTTTGCAGAAAACAATGTCAGCGACTACGCCGACTAGAGAAGATACTGAGGTTTAGAAGCACCACAAACTGTTGCTTCAGAGTCAACTTCAAATAAGCCTCCACGGTCTAGAGATTACGGTTATGAGTTACATTGAACACAAATGAATGAATAACGAAAATTTGTTAGGGGTGTATTTGTAAACTTATAAGGTGTTTTTGTTATTTTTTAAACTAATAGGGGGGTAATTGATTTTTTATAGGGTACCCTGGAAAGGAACCGGAACCTGCATTTTAGGTTCCGGTTCCTTGAATTGAAGAACCTGTACTGTGCGGTTCCGGTTCCGGTTCCCCGGAAAAGTACAGGGTACCCAGAACCGCTCACCCCTAAATTGGTAATAATGTGTGGTTATAATTATTTCTTAATTTTATATTTATGTGGTGTAGATTGCATGGTGAGGGCTATAAATACCCTCCCTTACATTTGGGTTAGGTATCCTCCAAAAATTAAGTCTTTGTATTCTTAGTTTGAGTGTGAGTTGTGAGCTTTCTTTTTAGTGTTTGTATTTCTCTTCAAATTGTGAGTGGTTTTTGAAAAGTGCTGTAGTATTTTTTATTGTGGGTATAATACAAGTAATTTGTTTCCTTGTTTGAGTCCTAACATTAGTAAGTTTAGAGTTGTGTACTCTAAATTTAACTCAACAGATGCCAGTTCTGGAGATGTTTCCGTCCTTACAGAAATATTTCGACAATGTCGAACACAATTGAGCTATGTGATCTGGCAGGCAAGAATGCACTTCATCTTGCTATGTTAAACAACACCGAGCTCAATGTCAAGGCATTCTTGAGCTTGCCTCAGATAATGGAGCTCGTGAATGAACCTGACAATGAAGGAAACGCACCGTTGCATCTAGCAACCATGAATCACAAGTACAAGTTGGTGAAAAAGCTAATACCAACTAAAGGTGTGGACTTAAGGGCCAAGAACCAGAATGAAAAAACTGCTCTAGGCATCTGTGAGTCTGAGTGGAAAGTTTCTCATGAAGAGGCAATATAATTAGCAGTTGAGTAAGAGTGGTGTTAAAAAGTTCTAACAAGTGGTAATATGTTTCACCTGAAATTTTAATTTCCAATCTGTATTCCTTTGCATTCACATATATCTTTTGGGGATTCAAGTAGGAGACAACATCTTCTAAAGAGAGTCTATCTTGTTGTGTCAGGATCAAGCTTTGTGCTTTGGTATAACTTGGTTTAAGATCTTCTTCATGACGATATAATTTCCCATTGATTGTTTTTCTCTGTATGCTTCTGATTCTGCTTAATCACTATAGTCCCATTTTGTTTCTTTTGGCATTCAAATCCCAAATCTCAAATTCAATGCAACACAAGTCATGCAGCAAGAGAAATGTACAAATGGTTTGTAAGGGCAACTTGAGAGCTTACAAAATTAATCCTAACTGCTAATACTGATTAGTTTTTTGTTTTTATTGAGCAACGAGCCAAAAGATTTTATTTTCACAAATGGCTAACATTTTTTTCCCTTTGCTCTTGAAATGATTGCAGAAAATTCCCCTCAGTGATGCACCCCCGAGTAGACATCCCTATAGCTCGAAGTTTTTTCCGAAAACAAAGAGTGGATTCGAGCACCCTGACTTAGACTTAAAACAAATGGCCGACACCTTGTCAGTGGTTGCTGTACTTCTAGCCACTTTAACTTTTGCTGCAGCATTCACATTACCAGGTGGATACCACGCTGATGGTGAAATTCATGAAAAACATAATAAAGATGAACATCAAGGTATCACTCAATCCTCATAGGAAAGGTATCACTCAAGGTATTTCTGTTGGCAGATTCACTTTCTGTGTGCTGCTCGCTGACAGTGGTGTTTCTCTTGATTCTGGCAATGGCCGGTGACCCTGCCTTCTTGCACAAAGCAATCACCTACAGCAAGAACCTGTTGAAATATCGCCCTTGGCGGAACGTTGGTTGCCTTCATCACTGGATTGGACACAGTTATATCACCAAAGAGCCATCATTATTATCATTATAGGCCTAATGTTCCATTTCTCATCAAATATTTGCGAAGAAAGTCTTCCATATGTACTCTTTTTGTTATATAATTTCTCAGGGGAACAACGAATAACCCTGTTATATGCTACAACACCGGAGAAAGATCTGAATACTCTACTCCTAGAAGTGTTCTCTGTATGCTGGTTCACCCTACAGTCACCTGGCTCTATGATATTTAAGGCCATTCTGTATTAGTGTCTGTCTAATGTTTTTTGTGATCGCATCAAGTTTTGGTGATTTCGTGTTCTGAAAATCTGAAAATGGCATCTGAAAATGAAAATGTGTTCGTTATTACGGTCTTTTGATACATATTTTCCAAGATAAAATAGAGAGTGAAAATTAAAAATAACGTTGAATCCACTTAATCTTGTAGCATCTTGTCTTCATTGTAATAATTTTTACAATTTATTATATGTTAGCCTTTCTTTCGTATTTTTAGAATCTTGTTTTCATTATTATCATGTTTATCCTGTTCTTGGCATGTCATCATCAACTACCACTGCAGCAAAAATTGTTGGTTTGTCTGATAACAGTGTTTAATATGCTTGCCCTTTTGACTAGAGAAAACGCACATATTATGTCATCGCTTTTTTAGAAAGCAAAAATAGATTTGGGTAAAATATTTACAGTCATCTAATTTTTTATGTCCAGCGCGCATGAAAATCCTGTTTTCTGCATGTCAGTTCACCAATTAATTCACTTTAGACCTCCAGAAGGCTGTCATTCATGTCAGTACTTTTTGAGGTGAAACTAATTATACAGTTTTTTTTCACCAAAAAAAGGAAGCAATGAATGTTGACTTTCGTTCTCAGCAACCCAAATGGTCTGCTGCTGGAATGTTCATGAATTAAGGGACTACATAGTTGATGCGTCAACAGAGAAACTTTATTTCCTTAGGTAAACTCATCAATGAAAGCTTGTTGCCCAGATTCTTGACATACCCGTAACAAAAATTTGTAAAAACTAAAATGAAACATTTAACTCATCCTCTGATAATTATTTTACTCTACTGATTGAAAGATTTGAGCTAAAATGGAAGGACAAATGATTTTACAATGTTTGCCCTCATTATTTTTTCGATAGTGACATTCTGCCATTTCACAAAAATAGTTAGGTGGGTATCTAGTTTTCAAACTCAACCCCTCAAGAATAGTTTCCACGTTTAATTTTGAAAATGAATGTATGTTGTGGACAGATTATTAAATAGCTCTCTATTTACAGTAAGATGTTTCTAAGTAATGATTATGGGTCTGCCAACGGACAAGTTCCGTATAGTTTCTACCCTGCTTCCCATTGGTCGATTGCATAGAAGATATTCTTAAATCGCACAAGGTTTGGGCAAGAGGGTGACTCCTAGCCACTCACTCGCCAGACCATTACTTGCCAAGTTGATGACAGCCTTACTCCTTCTATCCTTGGATGACGTGGTAGCGTCTGAACGGCACAATGTCTTTCTGAACTCTAATTGATCCTTACTGACGTAAGCTTGCGTCAGCCTTGATTTTTTAGGTATAACAGAATGTTTTCCATTCATCTAAGATAAACAATAGGTCAACAAATGAGTAATTCCAATTTGGGAAGTGTCCAGTCTGAAGGATATAATATGGCACTGAAAAATCATAAAGACAATTAACTTGCCCAAATGAACAAATCATTTGGAACCGGATAATCCAAACGACTTATAATCTTATATGGGGACAGGTTGATTGATTAAGGAAAGGGAGATCTTAAAGATCCCTGCACCCAATCTCCAATATGATAGTTAATCTGAGCTTTCATAGAAGCCTCTTTTATCAGGAAATTGACATCTGACTTACATAATGTATCTCTTTAGTGCCTTGCCATAGATTGCATTGGTTATCTGCTAGAAGAAGAAGATATCTTGAAACTCATTAATCAACCAGAGATTAGTGGAAAGACAGCCCTTCACTTTGCAACAGCAGCCAGACAGACAAATATTATACGTGAGTTGCTTAAAGAAAGTACCTCATCTGCATATCTGCGAGACAACAATGGAAGGACGCCATTACTGGAAGCTGCCAGCTCTGGAAACTTTGATGTCCTTCAAGAGATACTCCTATACTGTCCAGACACAATGGAACTCTGTGACCCCACTGGCCAGAACGCGCTTCATCTTGCTGTGTTAAACAACACTACGCACAATGTCAGGGAATTCTTGCACTTGCAAGAGATGAAGGAGCTTGTGAATGAACCTGACGTGGAAGGCGACACACCGTTGCATTTAGCTATCAAGAACGAGAACTACAAGATGGTGAAAAAATTGATGGCAACTGAATGTGTAGACTTGAGAACCAAGAACAACAAAGGCCTCACAGCTCTAGACATCTGCGAGTCTGATTGGAATCTTTCTTACAGACAGGTAATCTTATTAGATACCACTTATTTGTAGCAACATGTTTCATATTAAATCTATTCAATGATTCACAATTTGATAGAGTCCAATTTTCCATTTCACCTTCATGGATGGTTGAAATTATTTCTCTTTTATTGTTGATATTATTGCAGAATTCTCTCCATACATACCTGAGAGGGCAAAATGCGCCGCGAGGTAGACATCCCTATAATTATTGGAAGCGTGATCAAAAATCAAAGAACGCATTAAACCACCCTAACGCAGACTTAAAACAATTAGCCAGCACAATGTCAGTGGTTGCTGCCCTTCTGGCAACTTTAACTTTCGCTGCGGCTTTTACATTACCGTGGCTACCATACTGATGATAATGACAAACCTCCTGAAATAAAGCATCCAACTGATGATAAAAATAAACCCGAACTAGGTACCGCAATCCTCATAGAGAAATTATCACTTTAGGTATTTGTGTTGGCTGATTCACTTGCAATGTGTTCTTCCATGACAGTGGTGTTTCTCTTAATTCTAGCAATGGTTGGTGATCCTGCCTTCTTGCGCTCAGCAATTTTTTATAGCAAGAACTTGCTGAATATCGCCCTTTTCGGAACGTTGGTCGCCTTTGTAACTGGATTGTACACTGTAATATCACCAAAGAGTGAATGGTTAGCCATCATTGTCGTCGTCATATGCTCCAGTGTTCCATTTCTCATCAAATTTTTGCACCGGAAGTCTTCCACTTCAAACTCTCTTGTTATAAAATATCTCAAGGGAACAATGAAGAAACCCGTAATCACCTACAGCCCTGGAAGAAGGCGTTCAAATGTTAGTTATGGATACAGTAAAGCCAAATCACCTCACTGGTACCAATCTATTTGATATAATAACTCAGACCATTCTGTCTTGTTTTAATGTCATGCACCCTTCTCTAATCTTTCTTTTAGGATCTTGTTTCAATAAGTTTTATTAGTTTATATATTGTAAAATATAATTTAGACTGTAACATGATTGCTAATATGTATTTCTTTATTTTTTTTATATATATCATTCAGTGTGTTAGCGTCTTGCTTTCATTGTAATCATTTAAACAATTTGTTATGTGGCCTAATTGGGATCCTTGTAGAATCTCGTTTCATTGTTGATTAGAGCCTTCTTGGCATTTCAGTATTCTAAGAATGGGCAGGGTAAATAAGTAGTTATGCTGCTCGCAAAATGTTTGTGAAAGCTGGTAGCTTCTTCATACACCCTAACACAAAAATTTAACGAAATTAAGATGAAACATTTAACTCTGATTATTATTTCACTCACTGATATTTAAAGGTTTGAGCCACAATGGGAAATAAATGTTTTTACTATAAAATTTGCCCCTTATTCTTTTCACGATCACTTATGTTCTGCATTTATATATATAATATATATATATATATATATATATTATATATATATATTGTTAAAATCAGAATATGTTTTCATACTATTAAAATTGGAGTAAAAAGTAAATAAAGAAAATACATATTTGAAAAATATCAATCACACAGAAACACAATATTTTACGTATTCGGCATAACTAGTCAACATCCATGAATAAAAGAATCTATTATAATTTAAAAACACGATACCCATGAACCTTTACAATCAAACCCTTGTATCCTTATGCTCTTTTTTTCTCTTATTCACTCTCTCATAATTCTGAATTGGTTCTAACCTCTCTATTTATAGGTAGAATACGACATTTTTTTCTACTATGATTCATATTTCAAATCCTAATATAATTCCTCTAATTTAATTCACATTCCAGCTTATAGTTAGCTGAATATCTATTTGCAAACTCAACCCCTCAATATGACTTCAACGTTTGGTTTTGAAAATGAATGTATGCTGTGCCAGCTTCATTGAAGGTATAAGATAATACTTCTTTCATGACAAGTAAATAATATATAATATAAATGATATAATACGTTTGTCCGTGATGTAACTGGATTAATTAACATCAAGACTTTTCCTATCCAAATAGATGTGTGCATAGAATGGAGAAAATAATATCCGTAGAATCATTTGATTTTTTTTTCATAAATGTAGATTTTGGTACAAGTCAAGGCCCTACTAAAAGGGTGCCAGAAGAAAGTTTTCCTCTATCCAAGTTAATTAAATTTTATTCTGTTGAACCATTATGGAAATTTTGTTATTTTACAAATTATATATGTAACAGATTTCTATCGGTTTGAGACTCGATAAACTTGATGTATTATAGCACCCTTTCACTAGAGGAAACTTGATGAAAATGATGTTTACAACCATTTACAACCAGAGTTGGATTCTTTTAATTATTTATTAAACTTTAAGAGTCCTCTCCTGTCAATCTCACTATGCATCGAACCAATGAAAGCATTTGGTTAATCTGTGAAAAAAACACAAATTGCAACTGCCAACTGCCAAGGGCTTGTTCTACTTGCAAAATCAACGCACTATTCACGAGAGTCCTTCCTTCTACTTCAACTTTTTGTTCCCATTTTCAGTTAAAAGCAGAGAGTAATACTACTAAATTTCAACCTTAATTTGTTTCTCTCAGAAAGAAAAAGAGCTTAGTTTTGAAAAGCTATGGATTGCATGCTGTACAGGCTCAAGAGAGAGACGTGGAGTTCTTGAACAGTTTATCCAAAGTGATAATCACAACCTCTTCTCTGCATACAAATCAGGAGAACATATTCTTCACATAGCTGCAAAATTGGGTCATGAACCATTTATTCATGAGGCTCTCCGAACATCTCCCTTCCTTGCAACTCATATAAACTCAAAGGGTGACACTCCCTTACATGTCGCGGCGAGAGCTGGCCATATTGCTGTGGTAAAACTTCTCCTCAATGACAAAATAGAAGAGTTACTCAATTGAAACTCCGGGTACAACTGTTTTGAGAGAATGGAAGAGGGGCAGAGTGGCGTTCCAAAGCTGTGGAGGATGAAAAATAAGGTTCAAAGCTTGGCTTTGCATGAGCTTTGGAAGGTGACACGAGGACGTTGCACTTGTTTGTGGGTCTAGACGGAGAGCTGGAGTTGTAACTTGTTTAGGTGAGAGCCCTCATATTTAGCTTCTGAATCAAGGTGTGAAGCAGTAGTGCCGAGGATTTTAATGTTCTTAAAACTAAATTCAGAGAGAGTCGATCTCTTGCGTGATGCTGTAGAGGCCCAGATGGGCAAGATCCTCTGCATGCCAGTCCTCCTTGCAGAAGCACTGGTATGAATATCATACTCTTTTTCTTTAAAATATCTGTCACTTTATAATCTAAAGTTATTAGTTGAAATGTATGACAAGTCACAACATCTTCTATCAATAGATATAATAAAAATCCAAGTTAAATGAACCCATACAGTAAAAATAGGTGAAAAGACAAAAATAAAAGAATTGTATGTATTCCATCATCTAAAATAACTATTTGGTCAAACAAATGAGTTATTCCAATTTGTGTGTGTGGAAGGATATATATATACGCTTAAAAAACCCTGAAGATAAGATCAGTTTTGAACTGGATAATCCAAACGACTTAAATATGGGGACAGGTTGATTGATTAAGGGAAGGAGATCTGACTTATATACGATAGTTTGAGCATCTTAGAAGCCTTTTAAACTATCAGGAAATTTGCATTGATATTATATATGTTCTCTCTTTATGTCTTGCAATAGAATCATTGGTTATCTACTAGAAGATAAGATTTTTGAAACTCATTAATCAACCTGACGTTAGTGGAAAGACTGCCCTTCACTTTGCAACAGAAGCCAGAGAGATAATATTACACGTGAGTTGCTTAAGAGAAGTACCTCATCTGCATATCTGCGAGACAGAAATGGCCGACGCCATTACTGGAAGCTGCCAGTCAGGAAACTTTGATGTCTTTCAGGAGATACTCCAACACTGTCCAGACACTATCGAGCTCTTGACCCGACTGGCCAGAACGCCCTTCTCTTGCTGTGCTCAACAACACGATGCAAAATGTTAGGGAATTCTTGCATTTGCTAGAGATTAAGGGCTTGTGAATGAACCTGACGAGGAAGGCAACACACCCTTGCATTTAGCTTTCAAGAACGAACTACAAGTTGGTGAGAAAACTGATGGAAACTAGTGTGGCGACTGAGAACCAAGAACAATAGAGGCCCACAGCTCTAGACATCTGCGAGGCCGACTGAATCTTTCTTATAGACAGGTTTCATGTTAATTTGAATTTGACTTTTATTGTCTCTCACTTCTTTATTGCTTTATTTCTTATAAAACTATTTGGGAGCAACCTGATATTGTCATTCTTTCAATGTACCACGTTTGATAGAGTTCAATTTTCTATTTCCACCTTCAGATGGCGATGGCTGAAATTTTTCCCTTCTTGATATTTTGCAGAATTCTCCATACATTCCTGAGAGGGCAAAATGCACCCCGAGGTTAGACAGCCTATAATTATTGGAAGATCAATCAAAAATCAAAGAACGCATTAAACCACCCTAACGCAGACTTAAAAATTTAGCGAACACAATGTCAGTGGTTGCTGCACTTCTTGCTACGTTAACTTTCGCTGCTGCTTTTACTTACCAGGGGGCTACCATGCTGATGATAAAGAAATACAGAAATATTCAACATGATAAAAAAAAAACCCTAGTAGTTCTTCAATCCTCATAAAGAAACTATCACTTAAGTATTTGTGTTGGCTGATTCGTTGCAATGTGCTGCTCCATGACAGTGGTGTTTCTCCTAATTCTAGCAATGTTGGTGACACTCCCTTTTTGCGGTCAGCAATTATATACAGCAGGAACTTGCTGAATATCGCCCTTTGGGAACGTTGGTCGCCTTTATAACTGGATTGTACACTGTAATTCACCTCAGATAGATGTTTAGCCATCATGTCATTATCATGGGCTCCAGTGTTCCATTTCTCATCAAATTTTTGCGCCGCAAGTCTTCCACTTCATCCCCTCTTGTTATAAAATATCTCAAGGGAACAATGAAGAAACCCGTGATCTCCTACAGCCCTGGAGAAGGCGTTCTAATCTTAATATTAGTTATGGATACAGTCAAGCCAGTCACCTCGCTGGTACTAATTAATCTATTTGAAGACCATTCTGTTTTCTTCTTTTAATATCATGTGTATATGTAATCCTAATACCCTTCTCTAAAAGTTCTTTTAGACCTTGTTTTCATAATTGTTATATATTGGTAAATAATATTTAATTATAACGGATTGCTATTATGTAATTTTTTTATTTATTTAATTTGTTAATCATAAAATAAAGTTGAATTTTCTCTGTATGCATCCTTATAACTTTTTAGGAATAGATGTTGATAAAAATTAAATATAGAGAAGACCAGCTCAAATATCAATCCATTAG